CTGATAATTTTTAACCACCAGGTCCAAATTTGAATTGTCTAATACTTTAGTTTACCAAATCAAATACCAACAAAGCAATGTCAGCTGTATTCTTAATTTGCTGATGTTAGCATGCTAACATGCTAAACTACAATGGTTAATATAGTAATCATGTATCAGCAGTGCAGCATTGTCCTCATTAGCATCTTAACATGCTGACATTAGCATTTGGTTTTTACAGCCTCACAGATTAAATGGGACACACATATAACATTCATTTATTTATTCACTCACTCACTGTTTCCCTATCTACCTCTTGTGGCCACCACACTTCCTTCCTCCGTGTACACACCACCTTGATGAAGGTTAATTTTGCTTTCACAGGCGGACCGCCCACAGTAAAGATAAGACTATCTCCTGTGTTTATCCAGATATCTGGGATGCAGTGGAGATATGTTGTTCTCCACTTACCAACTTTATGGTGTTTTAACTGCTCTCAGTGACGACGACTGCTAAACAAAAAGTCATAAAACCTCTTCACCTCAGTGGATAAACTGCCTTCATGTGTTTACCCAGCTGTTAACGTCCAGCATTATGCACTGACATTGTGGAAAGACTATCTGCTGACCGAGATGCATAAATAGGAGGGCAGCTTTTCTTCGAGCCTTGTAATCCTGAGTCAGATTCCACCTGGCTGGAGAGGCCCGGTGTCAGTTTGCTGGTTGGGAAGATATGGGTTTAAAACTTTTAAAGGACCAGTGTGTAGGATTTAGGGGCATCTAGCGGTGTAGTTGCAGATAGCTTTAAACACGAACAACATCTATCAAGAGTTTGGTTTGTCCGTTCTGGGCTACTGTAGAAACACGGCGGTTCTACAGCTTCCATGGAAAGCAACCTGCCCCCTCTGTAGATAAAAACAGCTCATTCTAAGGTAACAAAAACACAATAATTCTTATTTTAAGGTGATTATAAATGAATGCAAACATGTCTAAAAATGTTATGTTGATGCCGCTCTAGGTTAAGGGATCATCAACGTCATTAGACTTTAACCTCTGCTTACCATGAGTGTCTGTACAAAGTTTAATGGCACTCCAACCAAGAAGCAGAGCAAATATATAGTCTTAGCAGCACCACTGGACAATATGTCCTAAAATGTGTTTGTCCATTGCTCTGCTGAGGAATATCATTTGATACAAACAAAACCTTCACAACAGCACAAACCCATCTCTTTACAAGGTCCATTTAGTAACCTTGTAAAGTGATGGGTTTGTCAAGGACTTAACTAGGTCCTGAAATGATTTGCCTTCAGCAGGCGTGTTTTAGTCAGTCGCCTCGGTTTGGTCTGTTTGCGTTAGCTGCTGCAGCGAGTTGTGTTTGCTTTGGCATTTAGCTAATCTAAACGCTCATTCAAGTTGTGTTACCTCACAAAGCTGCTGTTTGGAGAAAGTCATCAACGGCACTGTTATAACCTTCCAACTCTACACTTGAACTGATACGACCTGGACACACCAACACACACACACACACAGACACACACACACAGGTTTACATATAGAGAGACAAAGACAGATGAGGAGAAAAGGGACAGGCAAAATAAATATGCATTTGAAGCTCATCCTGCACATGAGCCAATCAAGTTTTAGTTGGGTAACTGTGATTGGGTGCCTGTTGATCAACACTCTTTACGAGGGACAACCCTACTGGAAATCCTGCTCCATCCCAGGATTAGAGTTGACATTTAGGAGTCACTGAGGGACTCTCTTGTCTTTCCTGTTCAAAGCTATAGATAAAGCTTTGTGTCAAGGAAATTTCGTGGTTGTAAGCTGAGTCTTTTTGCAGGCAGCTTTGAACTGTCTTGCTGGTACATGCTGGGAAACTAGGATGTCTAAAAGAGAGAGAAAACATGTATTTACCTTCCGCCCATTAATGCTCAACAAACATACTAATACAGACATACAAAACCTACAGCCAAAGTCCAGTCTGTCAGGGTTGCTGTGGTCCTAACTGTGTTATTAAGACTGCAGGTTCGGCAGCGAGCTCCTCTCCTTCCTCCCCCTGTTCTTCCACACACTGTCATGGACGAGGTCAGTAGTTAAACATACGTTAAGGTCAAGACACACACAGAGACGGAGGAAGTTCATGGCTGTAAGAGTGACAGATGGAAAATAATTGGTTTTTAGAAATAGTGAGAGGGAGAAAGACACCAGCCGTGTTAATCTGTGTCAGTGCTCTTCTATTCTTAGCTGGTCCCATCGGCCAGCAGAAATATGAGAGACACACGTGACGACAAGCTGTTAAATTTAGAGAGAGGGTCAGAGAAGAGTGACAGAACCTCCAGACCAGGACTAAACTCCAGATGTGTGGACTGTACGGTGTGTATGGATGATATTGAGGAGCTGTCCAGGAGTGTAAAGTCTACCTGAAACCTTTTTAAAGGATTATTCCCCTGCATCCTATTTTAGACTTTTCCCTCTCATCAAAACTTGCGTCATATTTAAACACTGCCTCATGTTGCAGTCAGTTTAGAAGGAATTTGCATCTGCTGTACATTTATATGAGCTCAGGAAGTGGTGAAGACTGAGTAGAGGGCTCCCTCTAGTGCCTGCAACGTAAATTACAAAAGAATATACAAGCAGCTATAAGTGGGTTCCAAGTAAATGTTGTCACATATATGCATCAAACAACTTTTAAAGTACAAGTTGTAGAAGGCCTGCTGATTATAATTTAATATATGTAAGTAAAGAAGAAACATTTACTCAATGTAATTTCCTGTATTAACTAACTAACTAACTTTGGTAACTAAAGAAAAATAAAATCTAATCAGCTTAATTTATATGGAGGTGTTTTATTTTGTACATCCCTACTAAAATACAGAAAAATATCTAAATGTCCTGTCTCTGAAGTCTAGCACGGTCAGGCCTTTGCATCGAGCTTTGGTGGTTTACAGCCTGTCTAGCTTATAAAACTGCATAAAATGAACCTCTTCCTGTACAGCAGCCTTTGATTGACAAGGTTTTTATTTAAGGTTTTCAGAATTACACTACCTTTGCAAATTTTTGCACTTATTTATGTATATGGTGTCAGATATTGTATGGAATTATGATATACATTTTATAAAGTTTAAGATCTTCAATTTATTATTTAATTTATTGTATATACTTTTGTGTTTCCTACCTCTTTATGCTGCTGGGAGGATTTAAGTCATATATCTTTTATTTTATTTTATACAAGATGACAAAACACCAACACTGTTCCCTACTTAAAAATAAAGTCTACACGCCATCAATTGTCGGAAACCAACACAATATCAAAACATTGTCTAGATACAATAACACAGACACAGCATCTAACCATTACCAATGAACATTATAAGTTAATATCCACTTCTTGTTTTAGATGATTACAGGAGCCTAGACTTGTGAGAGTTACTTGGCAATATGGATAAATAGAAAGACTTTCTGCAGGACAGCTGAAACTCTTACGTTTCTTTTCACTGCTACCACATGGTGGCAGTGTAGGCCTGTTTGAGTTTGGTGCAGCCAGTCAGTTTGAATTGAGAGGCAGATCAGAGTCTTCATAGTAAGTAATCTATCTGTTTGTTTCTCCTTGTGTACTTTCACTTCTTTAGGGCCTAATAATTAATTTTGTCAAAACGTTTTCCTGTGTTTTCTTTTGAATGAGGGAGTTTGCCCAGACATTTAGACTCAAGTCTGAACTTCAGCAGCCTCATCAGGGCAATAACAACATAATCAGCATTTTATCATCTCAAACAAATAGAAATAATAAGACACATCATGTCCAGATAAGATTTAAGTCTTTTATGCCTTCATCTCCAGCAGGGTGATCTATTGTGCTGGTCTCTCTTCTGGTCTCCCCCAAAAATACTATTAGACAACTTCAGCACAGTCATAACATGAGCCTTGTTAAGACAAGACTCACATGACTCCTGGTCTTAACTCTTTATACTGGATTCCAGTTAGTTATAGAAGGTTTTAGTGGTGATGCTGGTTTATAAATCACCTAGCAATCTGTTTGAAGAATATAAGCCCAATACAGCAGGTCTCTCAGATCGTCAGGAAGCGGAACTAAACAGGGTGAAGACACTTTAAGCTGCAATGCTGCAAACAGATGAAACAACGTCATGATAATTTTAAATGTGCCAAAACTCAAGAAACTTTTAAAATCTAAATAAAAAATGCTGCACTTTACCTTTGATTGTTTTTCTACAATACTTTTATTTCCTTGATTGAATTTAGAGGAGCTTATAACTTATTGCCACAATGTATCTGCAGTCTAACTGTATGGTCTATTATAAAATTGTCCATTTCAATGTATTAATATAATATATATATAATAATTACTTTTAATTTGATGGAATCGGGTGATGTAATAGTTAATTCTTATGTACCATCCATACCAAATCAAATCAAAATCAAATTCAAGTTTATTTGTATAGCCCTTTACAATACCATACATATCATCGTGTTTTTTCAAATAAAAAGAGCAAAACCAATGTTAACCGATTCAAAGGAATCAATTCACTCTTATTGTAGGCTAGGCTTTTCAAATTCTTGAATGATGTTGAAAGCACATGACATTGAATGGCATGTGTCAGACAACGATAACATATCATCAGCAAAAAGATTTATTTTGAAGTAATGCACCAGTTTTGATGCCTTGTTTATGGGCTCTTATTGCACATGCCAAACTGGATTATAAAAATTATAGTATAAATGACTTTAAATTAGCTCTACCTCAACCATCATTGGTCTTTACATGTTAATGCATCAATAATATTAATCAAATAATCCAACATATATAATAATATCACAATCTAAATGGGGCATTCTGCATGAAAAGTACTTTTGATACTAAACTACAGTTTTTTCCTAATACGTATGTACATTTCCTCAAGTAAAGTTTTGAATTCAGGACTTGTAAGTGTTTTTACTGTGAGATACTGATTCTTGTACTTAAATAGAAGATCTGAATTCCTATTATATATTATAAATACATAGGTACCTGATTCAGGAGGGAAAATCACATAAAAATTACATTATATTCTGGATGCTCTGTATCAAACCAATGGTATTGCCATCATCTGTCAGAGCAGGGCAGAGCGGGTCGTCCCTAATCGGCGAAGTTGGGTTCGGATGGCCTTTGCCATCACTGTGTGATGTGTGTGAAAGGGGTGAATGTGGCATGGTTTCCGGTGTAACAAGCGCTTTTGAGCGGTCGGAAGGGGGACTAGAAAGGCGCTATACAAGTACCGGTCCATTTACCATTTACCACTGTGTGTGGATGTTTGATTCTCTGTGCCTGAGCATAAGAATGTATGAATGAATCCCCCAGTGTATAGTTTACCTTGATAAGAAAACATGACATGTAACGTGGTTTTAGACTTACTTTCTCCAAATACAGAACCTCTATGAAAATGTCTCCAAAAATACCTTTGGTTAGTATTTAGAGGCTTCACACTGCTTTCTGTTAAACACTGTGGCTTTGACGTGAGGTGACACACCACCAAATTCTCCTGGCTCCCCCGTCTTTGCCAGCCTCTTGTGGTTGCCAAGGTAAACGTCATGGTGACCATGGGATCGGCTGCAAGCTCAGAGGGACGTCCGGCTGTGATGGGGCGCGTGACATGATACTCAACAATCAGACACCATGACAACCTGGCAACAATGCTGTTGATTCAGCAACCCAAACTGTATGTAGAGTTGGAGAGAGGGGACAATAAACATGTTTCTGATTGGTGGAAAAACAGTTTAATGTCTAATAAAAATCTTATAATGCGCTTGGAAAAGGTAACCCCCACTCTCGTGTACATAGATCAGGACTGGAAGACTCTCCTGCAATAACATGAGGAGACCTACATGTGATGGTCAGAGCCGGGTTTTATGTAAATATGACTTCTCTCTATGAAATGGATCAAAGCGCTTTGTCACAAACCAGTAGCTTCACTTCAAGCCATTACTATATTATCTGATTAATATAGGCAATACAATGTTTGCATGAGCAGTGACCATTGGTAAACCAGGACCCGGGCCTCTACAGGATCCTGGTGTCTCCAGGGCCCTGAACCCTCAGGGGCAGGAGTCTGAAAGGGAAAGCCAGGGAGGAGGCTCCGAGGCCAGGCTAGCTAACACACCAGCAGGGGGTCTCATCACTCTCTCCACACTTCTGCTGTCAGGGCTTTTGTTTCAGCAACATTACTGACTCACAAGGCCTTGCCTCCCAGGTAACTACACTGCTGAGCTGCTGCTGCTGGAAGGAGAGACCTCACAGCCTCAGCACAGCTCTCACAAAATGTGGATCAACCAAATGATAGCCAAAGAAGAAGAAAAACCACTGGAGAGCTTACAGTAAACATGCTATCTAACACTTGATAGAATACACTATGGCAGATTAACTGAAGAAACACAATACAGGCCTGAGAGTGACCTGAGACTATACATATTGTTGACAAACTACTGTATGTATATAAAGTCATTTAGTACATTACAATATTTATTCCGGCACATATTGCCGCTTTCAAATCCTTACATTATTTGTATCCTTGTTTTCCGAAGCTGTTAAATCTACATGCATTGTATGTTGTTGTCTATTTGTTTATGTATGTATATGCATATATATGTATTTCTTAACATTATTCTTAGAAAGTGTGTGAGTATATTGGCAGCCACTTGAAACCGGACTCATGCTGGCATGCTTACACATATTTGGCCAATAAAGCTGATTGTGACAGTGTTATTTCTATTCCTTCATCTTATATATTTTTTTTTGTGCTTCAGTGTATGACGTAGTGTGTAATAAAGATTAGCATTGTCCACCACTGTATGTCAATAGTTTGCTGGTTATTGTCAACTTGTAACTCCTGCCAATGATGTCTTGAGTTTCTTTCTTTCTTTCTTTCTTTCTTTCTTTCTTTTTTACCAATGCTCCTGCAGCTTTGGGTCTACTTTCTCTGCAATCTCCTAGTATATTCACAAACACACCGTATTTATTGCTGACAAATGCTGCTGATTGACCTTAAACCTAATATGTAAAAGTGAGACTATATAAGTACCGACAGAAGCAATAACACATTTGTCCTCTTATGAATAAAAGTGAAAAGAGTTCATAAGTAATATAACTTTGCTCAATTACATAAACTCAGGGCTTTTTCTGCAGCCGTCTCACTTGATCTGGTATGACCAGTAGGTTATAGGGGTCCAATGTTTGCTAATGTCAGTAAACTTAAGATAGATATGGCAAATGACCCTGCTTGCAATTATTTTTTTAGTGCTGTTAGTTTGAGATCATAAGTTATTTTATCTCATTATCTCGAGCCAACACAAGGCAGATTTCTCAAGATAACAAAATAATTTATCATGAAAAAAGGACTTTTGTTTTCTCAAGTTAATGAGATAATTATGGAGAGCTTGAAAGTGAGTGTCTCTTCCATTTGATCACACCTGTTTTCAGCCGCACTGTCATGACTGTCGGGGAAGATTCATAACTGAACTAAAAAGTTGTCACCTAAATGAATGAGAGCTAATTTAAAGGTCCAGTGTGTGGATTTAGTGGCATCAGTGTAATTGCTGATTGCAACTCCGTCACTTCACCCACTTTTAACCATGGTGGCTGCCAAATGCAATAAACTCAAAATGTTGGTAATATGGCTGTTCAACATGGCGGCCTCCATGGAAGGCGACCCGTGACATCTGTAGATGAAAACGACTCATTCCAAGGTAACAAAAACATAATAATTCCTATATTCCGGTGATTATACATTAATGAAAACATACCTGTGAATATTATATTCAATTTCTGCCAATAAACTCTCATAAATGTTACATACTTAATTTGCAATGTGATGCAATACTGACAAAATATCTCAGAAGAAGACTGATCCTTGACTGTGTCCTACAATATCCAGATTCTTTTCGTACACTTTTTCCTGGTTACTGGCTTCATTTTAAAAATTAATATTATCTGTCACATTGCATATCGTTCCTCCATACATTGTCCATTATGTTGAACCAGTGCTACATCTATAATACACCATCTACTGTATGTATGCTGGCAGTGATAAGAGAAGCCAATCTTTTGTTTTCTTGTGATAACGGGCTGATTAACTTGCGATATCAAGATAATGGCCTTCAAAAAATTTTGCAAGCAAGACCATTCTTTGCTTCTGTAACTTTATGTTTCTTTGAGTAGAAAAGTTTGTGTTCACTTCTCAGATCCATCTCCGGTGAGAAGATGCAGAATGTAATAACAGGGTGCAGATTAGATTTTTTTTCTACCACAACAACAGAGTTAGTCTTGTGTATCTGAATCCTTCACAGACCGAAGATGGATTTTAACGATGTTGTGTCTTCTGCTTTCCTTCACACCTTTCCATTTACTTTCACCGACTATTCAAATTTACGGCTTACCCCCTGGTGTCATGGCATATAGGAAAAAAACACAACTCAATAAACAAAGAGGTAACATGTTGAACATTCTTGCAGGAATCATGCTGTGTTTTTTAAATGTTCCCTTTTTATTTTGTTCTAAATGTTTTGGCATTTACTCAGTAATTATCTATGCTTTAATTCTCATCAACCAAATTTGAAATACCCTGAGGAAATATGATTGTTTACCACATTTTACTGTTTCAAGACTCTTATCAATCATTTCCAAACAATTTTCTCTTCCCTCAAAAACAGAAACTTTTGTTCTCCCGTCAAAAGG